ATTCAGAATTAAAATATTGAACTTTGAACGTGAACTGTTCACTTTGGGCATGTATGAACTGAACTTGAACTAGTTCAGAAAAGCTGTGAACTCGCACAACACTGGGCCTGGTGCACGGACACATGTGTGAGCTCTGCCCCGGGCCTGTGAGCAAACACACCGTGAGAGGAGTCTGTGCAGGAGATAATGGAGGAGATGGAGCAGGATCCTCTTATGGTTCATGATGAGTCTGGAACCAACACCTTCTGGAGGTGGTTCCATGGAGCTGTTTTCTTATTCCTGCGAGAAGTCTTAAACCCAGCATCCAATAAGTTACAGTGAATTGGTAATGGGTCTGGGGTCAGGGGACGTCTGTAGAACGAGGTATATTCAAGTTAATTGCTTTGTTTTGGACCATTTGCATTGTGCTAAGAAGGATTTAATAGTTCTCTGTCGGCTTTGCACATGGTGCTGCTCCTAAGACTGTTTCCAGGTGAATGCAAATGGTTCACAGGTTCTGGTAGATATATTTAAACACATACTGTACGTATAAACACATATACACGTTATACACATATACTGTATATACGTTATACACATATATATATGTTACACACATACATACGTTATACACATACATACATTATACACATACATACGTTGTACATAGTGCCTCTATGTCAGTTTTACTTTTTTTATATAACCATATTTTTGTTTGATTTCTTGCAGTATAAAAATATGTAAATATCTTGTTCAAAACCAACTCTCAAATATAAGCTTGCAGAGATAAGTAAATTAAAATATTAACAATACTGAAATCACTAAAATAAACACCTAAATAATATAAATTAAAATAATTAAAAGAAAAATATGCATCTGTGCACACACACACATGTATACACACACAAATGCACACACACATTTATACACACACACACACACACATAAATAGTTTGTGTGTGTGTACTGCACATAAACTTGTTTGTATATAATGCTCTCATCATAATGTCTTCTTAACGATAACAAACTAATCTTAAAAACAAACATGCAGAAAGTAATAAAGTCATGAAGAGTCTGAGAGTTGTCAGACTGAGGACTGCAGCTCAGGGCTTTATTGTTACAGATGTAGTGCTGATTTACACCGAAGACCTCGGGACCGACGGGTCTTCAAACCAGCGCCACAGCGGGACACTCGTACTGAGCAGAATGCATCATGGATAATATATAACAGGGGCCAAAAGCACTCCTTCACACATCAGGGCTCTGCTCCAACTGTACTCAATGTTCTTTTGACTCTAATGAAACTGATCATAGCCAAGGATATATATATATATGTATACTGTAATATATATATATATTTATTGTATATATTTATTCTATATATTTATTGTGTTATATATATTCATTATATATATTTATATACCAGCCGTCACTCTGCTCTCAGAGTGTAGAAGATAAAACATATTGAAATAAAGACTAAAAAGTATTGCGCGTGTTCTGATTCTTGAACAAGACACTTTGACTGTAATCAGGTTGTCTAATTATAAATATTTATAAAAAGTAAAAATGTAGGGTGTGAAAGGCTTTGGTTTTTCCAATGTATTAATTTCAGATGGATTAAATTTCATGGAAAATGCCGTCATTTTCAGTGTCACATTTGATCCTTTGGACTCATGATACACACAGATCCTTTGAAGCAGTTTTGTTTAAATTCTTGATGTGTGGTTTTTATCTGAGAAACGTCTCTGAGACGTTGTTTTTGTCTTTTGGCTGCGAAGGATGTGAACATGTTGGAAATGTCCAGAAGAACTTTATCCACAGCTCACAGAAGTAAGTAAGTAAGTAAGTAAGTAAGTTTTTATTTATATACCGCCTTTTCACTGCAGATCTGAGTCTCAAAGCGGTTTACAATTGTTAATTTTGGGCATTTGTCTCTCACTCCACACAGAGATGGGAGCGGGGTCGCCAGTACAGGAAGCGCATGCCAGAACTATTGGACATATTTTTAGTGGTAGGGGAAACCGGAGTACCCGGAGGAAACCTACGCAGACATGGGGAGAACATGCAAACTCCACTCAGAAAGGCCCTGGTCCGACCGGGATTCGAACCCAGGACCTTCTTGCTGAGAGGCGAGAGTGCTATCCACTCAGCCACCATGCCGCCCAGAAGACACTGTGAGCCCAGGTTTAGGGTCAAAAATTATGTTTTGACATCATAATTCATCATAACTGTGACTAAATAAGTCTCTTAGCAAGACCCAGGTCTAAATCATATATTATTTCACATTTTGATTGAATATTGAGTTTCACTAATATTAGAGTCTTTATAGACTATGATGAATCCTCATCATCTCTTTGAACTTTTAACTTCAATGTTAAAGTAAAAAAGTCTTTGCTGTGTTCTTAAATTGTCCGTCAAATGAAAATCCAAATGTACATTTACAGTTTTCCATAAGTATTTATAAATTAAACCAGGTGCTGGCCCGAGGTGTGGGACATGCTCTTCTTCCTCTGCCTCTGTCCTCGTCCTTATTACCTTCATCTTCTCTGCCTGAGGCTTCTTCTAATCGTCTTGTGCTCTCCTGATTGGACTTTTCATTAGTCAACTCCCCCCGGGCCCCCCCGGGCCCCCCAGGCCCCCCCATAACCTCCTCTGGGTCACTTCAGACTGATTATAGCCCTTCTTTTAGCCTTTCCTGTCCCTCCTTCTTCACCCACTTCTGAGATTGCAGGACACGGACTCTGGAACACGGAGACGCTTCCACAAAACTGTTTAACTTCAGAATCACTGGGGCCATGATCCTGGGGCAGGATGGATATAAAACTAAGATCTTCAAATCTAAAACTAAAAATGCTGGAACTATTTCATTTTTTTCCTATTTGAAGTCATGTACAGTTAGTAATCAAATTAAACTATAGTGCTTTATGCATCATGTATTGTTACTTTATTTGACTCTACATTACTGTGTCAGTCCTGAATGTAGCTTTTCTGTGTCAGTCCTGAATGAAGCTTTGCTGTGTCATTCCTGAATGAAGCTTTGCTGTGTCATTCCTGAATGAAGCTTTGCTGTGTCATTCCTGAATGAAGCTTTGCTGTGTCAGTCCTGAATGAAGCTTTGCTGTGTCATTCCTGAATGAAGCTTTGCTGTGTCAGTCCTGAATGAAGCTTTGCTGTGTCAGTCCTGAATGAAACTTTGCTGTGTCATTCCTGAATGAAGCTTTGCTGTGTCATTCCTGAATTAAGCTTTGCTGTGTCATTCCTGAATTAAGCTTTGCTGTGTCATTCCTGAATTAAGCTTTGCTGTGCCATTCCTGAATTAAGCTTTGCTGTGCCATTCCTGTAAACACTTACGTCTATTGTATGTTTTGTACCTTTGTTGTTCAATGTGACGTGACTTATGATGTACTATCCACCAGTTAAACAGTAGTCATTCATTTCTGAGGTCTTTTCTCTATGTCCCAATAAAGACTCTTAGGGAAGTGTGATGGTTTAAATGAAGTAATTGCCTCACTTTTGACTCAGACCATCTGTAAAGCCATGAAGAGCATCTGTCAACACATAAACAAATACTATATACACTTCTCATAGACAAACACTATATATACCTTTCATAAACAAACACTATATACACTTCCAAAACTACGGCCAACTGCTGGAAACTTCTGGTTCCTTGTTGCCATTTTGCGCTTCACATATTTGCAGCTGGACGCAGACTTCCTATTGGCTCTAAAGCACCACCGACACACCTCCAACTCAGCGGCGGCATTTTAACGACGCTGCGCAATACCACAGGCTGCTCTGCTTTGTTTCTCAGCCATCTGTAGATCTGAATATAACACACAACTAGCATACAGCAACACTCGGCTAACATACAACTAGCACACGGCTAACAACGACCTTGTCCAAATGAAGCTCTGGTATTGCTAGTTTCATGTCTAACCCCGTGGCACGCTCCACAGGCTGGAACAGATTACTCCCTGTGTGCTTGTTCTGACTATGATTGCTACATCCAGATAGACTTTCAAGTGGCCTCCAGTGTGTGTGCGAGGCCCGCCCCTTGGGAACCGTATGGCCCTCACTACACATGGGGACCATTACACCGCAGCGCAGGACAGGCCCGAGCACGGCAGGTCTTCCTCATATCCACCAGAGCCTCCAAACCACCTTTTTTCCACCAGCCGTCATTACAGTTAATCACAGTGATGGGACTCGCCGAGGCCTGAGTGGTCCTCGGGCCTTGTCCTCTCTGTGTGTACTTCCTGTGGAGTGGTCCTCGGGCCTCGTCCTCTCTGTGGGTACTTCCTGTGGAGTGGACTCTCGGAAGCAGGACACATACGTCTTTACTTCACTGTACTGCTGTCACCTTTCATTGTGTGCACCATGTGCACTTGTATATTGTAAATAGTAACTGTAACTCTATTTTACATTTAAATTTATTCCTTAGAAGTGTTTTTTATTCTATATTTTTATTATCTCTCTCTGACTGTTGCACTGAGCCAAAGCAATTTCCAAGTCTGTGACTTCCTGTTACTTACATGGCAATAAAAATGATTCTGATTCTTAAGAAAGATGAATAACACAAATAACACATCGATCCACAGCTGTTTAAAGGTAGATCCACAGCTATTAAAAGGAAGATCCACAGCTGTTTAAAGGTAGAGCCACAGCTGTTTAAAGGTAGAGCCACAGTTATTTAAAGGTGCACTGTGACACTTGTCAGGGGGAAGGCCAACCGAACCAGTGTGAGACTCAATAAAGTCTATCTTATCTTATCCTACGTCATGGAAATGTCAAGGTTTCAGCTCAGACCAGGCATGTCCAAACTAAGACCCAGGGTCCTCCGTGTCATTTCATACGGTCCTCTGCTTTGCTAACCCAAAAGTAGTCCGTAAGAGTGTTTTTTGCTTCTTCTTCTCTAAAATCATTTTTGGAGTTTTTCTGTACAAACATCTGCTTTAAGTGTAACATGATGTGAGGCGTCTCTTTGCTAGGTTCTTGTGTTTGTGTTGTTGGTGTCCCACATGGTCCAGAGCAGCACAGACCTCACTCCCAGCAGCTCACATGGTCCAGAGCAGCACAGACCTCACATGGTCCAGAGCAGTACAGACCTCACTCGTCACCATTAAGCCGACAGCTGCAGTACAGTAACCTGGTTAGAGCCCGGCTGCGAGTGGCTCTTTCCTCCATAGATAACAATCAGTGAAGACGTTAGCCGTTAGCGTCACTACAGCATCAATATGAACTAAAGTAACTCTACAGAGAGGCCAGCACCAGGAAAGATCAACCATGGGCAGTTTCAGAGGCTGTTCTCTGTCATAAAACCTTGTTATGTCTGAGGGAATTTGGTGAACAATGAGTCAAGCCAGTCCTGGAAATGCCAGAGCGGAATTCTTTCTCAGTATATTTCTCAAGGATGTAGTTTTGCTGTTTTCTCGTATCCAGTATTTTAACATTATGTGTCCGTGATATGCTTTGAGAGTATTTTAAACACAGGTGTGAATGAAAAACAGCTGCAGTCCATACGAAGAAATCTGTTTTTCCCTTTTGGGGATTTTCACTTTCACTAAAACCAGAAGAATGGGATACATAAAAGTGTTCAAGTTTAGCATAGTCTAGATTATGTAGATATGTAGATAATAAGTTTGTGTGAGGTAGACTGGGGGCCAGCAGAGCAGACCAGCAGAGGCGGACCAGCAGAGGTGGACCAGCAGAGGCAGAGCAGCAGAGGCAGACCAGCAGAGGCAGACCAGCAGAACCTCATCAGCAGCTCATACATCACGGTGACATGAGTCCGGAGCAGCAGCTGAGTGTTTTACGGGCTCCAAACAAATTATGTGCACTTACAATGTGGCCTTTAAACCTCACACGGTTTGGAAGTCTCTGATGGAACTTGAGGCTTCCTTTTTCCGTTTTCTGTTGTTTTCTGTCGCAGTTTTCTTCAGGAGACATTTATCGCTCTTTGTTCGTTTAATGCTACACTCAATGAAACGTGTCAACTTTAAAAGTCCAAAGTGCCGTACACTTAAGTGCATCATAGAAAACATCAAAACACTTTCTTTCAACATGAAAAATACAAATGTGAGTTTTCTCTGAGGAGTGTTTGGAATGTGCTGCTGAGAATCAAATGGAACAGGCCAAGTCCTGGGGCTAAAAATGTCCCCAATGATCGATGGTTATAAGTGTGAGAGCTCCCGAGGAATATTCTTATTCACATGATGTATTTAACTCTACACATTTAACCCTAAATATCATATATATTAAAAAACAACTATGACCTTTTGGTCCAGTTTTGGTTCAATCCAAACACGACTGTGTCCATTTTTTTAAATCTACCAGAAAAAAAAACATCCAAACTAGTTTTTAATAAACTGTGGTAAAGCTGAGAACTCATATTAAATTATTTATTTTCAAAAGAGCAACAAACAGTCTTGTAATATTGGGTGTGCCCTCCCTTCACCTGTAGCCCCGCCCACATAACACAACATGGCCGACTAGGACACGCCTTCTTTTCAGGTGTTAATTACTATAACAACAAAATGGCATTTAAAAGGACCAAAGTCTCCCACTTTGTCACATCCATCCATCCATTTTCTTCCGCTTTATCCGTTGTCGGGTCGCGGGGGCAGCAGTCTAAGCAGAGACGCCCAGACTTCCCTATCCACACACACTTCCTCCAACTTTGTCACATATCCTGTAAAATACACAAATATCCACAAATGTAATACACACAACCAGAAAGAACAGAATACACACAACCAGAAAGAGCAGAACACACACAACCAGAAAGAACAGAATACACACAACCAGAAAGACCAGAATACACACACGAAACAGTAAGAAGAAGCAGTTATTCGTTTATTCGTCTACAGTGAGGACATTTCAGGTCCATGAATCCACAGACACACATCAAGGCTGTGTACAATTACTTCCACACTTCTTATAAGCAAAGTGGCTAAAGTGTCTTTTTGAAAACAGTAGACGAGGCTGGAGTGCTTCTTGGATGTAAAAATTAAATGAGGAAAAAAGTGAGGAAAAAAGTAAACTTTTGGTGCTCTTCAGTGGAGGGACCAATGTTGATAGTTCTGACAGAAGACGGAGGCACTCAAAAGTTAAAAAAATCTTTAAAAGCCTTTATTTGACATGGCAAAAAGAGGTTAAAATTACGCCTACGCGTTTCAGCCTTCTGGCCTTCTTCAGGGCATACGCTAAAGTGTCTTGCCCACGGACACGTCGACAGCAGGCATCAGTGGAAATCGGTGGAAAAGGTGAACCCAGGACCTTCAGGCTCAAAAGCTCCAACCGAGCCCGTGTCCCCCGTGTCCCTCGATGCCAACCGACCATCTCCTTACAACTGTGGTAAACAGTCAGTACAGAAGTTGTCAATAATATCATATTAATCTAGAAAATCATCAACTTGGACATACGGTAAATTCCACTAGAAAAAACTGTTACTTTCATTTTTCTAAAGACTCCATCAGAGAAAGTGTTTTTGTGAATGTGCTTCACTTTGGAGCTGGAGGAAAATACTTTGAATACAAGAAAACATGTTAAACTTGGGAGAGAATGAAAAGATTTGTAAAAGCTGCGACTTTTATCCATCTTTAAAAATATGACATACGACATATACATATTTATACATATGTAAGGGATAACGTATATTACGTAATATACGTTATCCCGCTTATTATACGGCTTTATACCAACAGAACACACAACATAAACTTCAGTGCACTTTTAGGAATGCTGAAAGGTTTATTTAATGACAGAAAATAAAATTGTTCCCAAAGGCTTTCCCGTGGCTATGCTAGCAACAGTTAGGCTGGCAACTTCCAAACTAGAACTCTCTGGAACTGCATGAAAACTGAACAAAGAATTCTGAACATCAGCGGTGAGTGACCCATACATAAACCTAACCTAAATCCATAATTCGATCCTCTGCAAATGTGTCCGAATAGGTGCCGGTATCTTAAAATGTGCCGGTATCTACTTCCGGGTTTTTCGGGATCGCCTTTTCTCGCATTACATCAGTGTTTTTGTCATGAAAACGTTAAAGGAAAATTCTGAAAACTTCCATGCACTTGTATTAAGACTGGATATGTATAAATTACTCTCCGATTAACATTTCATTGCGTTGATTGATTGGCATTTGCGTTCATTGAGCGGCCGGAACAACTTCCGGGTTTTTCACGATCGCTTTTTGACGCAGAGAAATAGTATTTTTGTCATGAAGACAAGACCAGAAAATTCTGAAAATTTCCGTGCACGTGTTTGAAGAATGTATATGTATAAGTATTCTCCGATTAACATTTAAGTGTGTTGATTGAGCGTGGCTAGCTCGGGAGTGGCCGGAACTACTTGCGGAGTTATCCACGCATTTGAAAGACAAGCAGAGAGTGTGTTGCCATGGGCAGCGGTCATTATTGTTTTGAAAGGTCAGTTATAGAAAATAATGACCGGTAGAACGTTTTGCAATTACATTCAAATCAATGGAGCGTTCTACTGCTGCTCTGAGGAGCCGTATAAGAGACATATATATACAACATATACATATTTATACGACATATACAAATATACGACATATACATATTTATACGACATATACATATTATACAACATCTTAAAATATTTTGGAATAAAGAGACAAATAAAAACAATCTCCACAAACTGGAAAAATTGATTCTTTAATTTAAAAACAGTTCACACGAGTTCTTTCTGAAAAACTAAACTGGTTAAAGTCTTCCATCTCTGACTGCACAGGTGCATACAGGTGCAGACACAGGTGCATACACAGTTTGGGGAAAAAAAGAAAAACTAGTTTCAGCTCAAAATAATTGGCCCCTGTTGGTGTAGAGGACGAGAGAGACCCTGGGTCTGAGTCCATACACAGGTGTAGAGGACGAGAGAGACACTGGGTCTCTCTCTGTTTTTTTCTAATGCCTTAATTCTACTGGAAACAAAGAGACAAAGCAGCGTCAGGACTTTTTCAGAGAAACACTTGGACTTAAAAACTTTGAATTAAAGTATTTCACATTTACACAAAATGAAACTCCTCAAACTGTGACGTGTCAGACTTTACTGATGTCATAATTACACTTGAACTGGAAAGACTGCTTTGCAGACAATTAACTTCTGAGGTCTTTCTGACAGAGGTATCTCTGAGGGTCTTTCTGAGGTCCTTTTGAGGTCTTCCTGAGGGTCCTTCTGGGTCCTAAAGGCTTCTCTAGACGCCCAGAATGCCGTTCTGCAGAGCCGCAGCTGCCATCACACTTCCTCCGGTTCCTTCAACAAACACTCTCCGACTGAAGTGAGTTTCATTCATTCCAAATAATGTTCAATGTTTAAGCTCCTGGTGTTGGACACACTCTGAATTACGACACCTCCCTTTAAAAGAGAAACGTGGAGTCTTGGCAGAAAATCAAAGTCATTAAGGTTTTGGGGCGACTCTCGTCCAAAACTAAAAAACAGTTGTAGAAGTAAAGAGTTAATGGATTTTGGGTAAGTTAAAATTCTCTGAGATATTAAGACATTTATTAAATATTTATAAGTAATATATAATAATATATAATATAAATATAAGAAAACAAACCTGTGTTTCCTTTTAGACCTTTAGTTTCTGGTCCCGTCTGGTCTGGTTCAGCCTAGTTTGGCCTGGTTTGGTCTGGTCTGATCTGGTTTAGTCTGGTTCAATCTGGTTCGTTCTGTGTTGGTCTGGTTCTGACTGGTTTGATCTGGTTGGGTCTGGTTTGGACTGGTTTGGTGTGGTTGGGTCTGGATCGGTCTGGTTTGGTCTGATCCAGTCTGGTTCCCTCAGCGGCCCCTGAGTGTGTCTTGTGATTAGTGGGTGGATCTTGGATCTAAAGGGGCCCGGGGCCAGTGCACTAATAATTACACTCTGTCCCTGGGGGCCGGCCCCGGAGTGACAACCCGCTCCCATTTTTACCAGGTCAGGCCTTCTTCCTTTTAAAGACCTAGGACTCTGGGAGCAGGTCTACATCCGACCCTGGTCTCTCACTTCCGGAGCCCCAGGTAAAGCTGAGGTTCAGCTTATACTGAAGAGGATTACTCTCATTTGCCCGACGTTCATGTTCCCACTGTCTCATCTCATCTTCTCTATCTTGTCTTAATCATTTGTTTCTTTTACTGTTTTGGGACAAAACATGTTTTTTTATGAAAAAAAAAGATTTTCTTCAAAGTAGTCACAGTTTTGTCCCATCTCTTCTGACTCTGGACTGAAATAAGGCCATGATCCTGCTGCTGAAATACAATATAATTAGAATATAATTGGAATATAAAGTTAGAGTAAAGTAAAAACTTTGAGTTAAATTCTTGTTTTTGTATTTCCTGGTCAAAGTCATAGAATTTGGGGATTCTTTCAAAAACATATAAAAATGAAGCGGAAATTAAAACAATAACTACGGCAGAAAACTGTTTTAATTGAATCATAGAGAGCAGCACGGAGACGAGCCAAGGAACGCAGCCGAGGCCTGAATCCTCAGGAATAACTACTGTAATGTTTACAGAGAAAGTCACCTCCAGGAGGAAGTCACAGGTGAACCCTCCAGGAAACATGAATTTGTTTAGAAGTCATATTTATATATATAGCGCCTTTAACAGACCACAGTCACATAGCACTTTACTGTTGTTATATTTGTCACCGACACAGAGATCGGTCGCCTACAGGGGGCGCTGTCAGACCGATTGTACATGTTTTTAGTGGTAGGGGAAACCGGAGCACCTGCAGGAAACCTACGCAGAAACAGGGATAACATGCAAACTCCACTTAGAAAGG